AAAAAAGAAAAAGAAAAGAATAGGAATAAACAGTTACATATTTTTACACAGAAATTTAGAAATCTAACCATATACAGCATTGTAGTAGGACAATCCTATGACATTTTTTCTTGTCTCTTATTTTCCTTTATTACCCTTTTTTTTTTTGAACATTTACTTGAGACAGTATAGCAGTAATTGATATGACATTAGAAGCAGTACATATTTAAAAGACCAGAATGACAGGTATTCCAAGCATAGCCCTAGTATTACATATTGCTATCTTCAGTGCCGTTGCTTAGTTCACAAGTATCAGTATACATAGTTAGAGTGAGAATCCTACCTAGTTAACTGCTACTTTCAAAAATCTACTGAAGATTCTCAGGATCATTGCCTTAACCATCTTGTGCATATAAATGTGTGGCTTTGCCCCTGTCATATTTCCTAGCTTTTCTCCTTCCCCTCTCTTTGTCATTTAATTCTTAAGTTCTCACTTTCCTTTTAATTGTGTTATACCTATTTTTATTTCTTCTTTTGAGTTCTTACACTATAGAGACTATATGATATTTACACATATGGGTCTGGTTTATATAAACCCTAACCAGTAGACAGGTTTCTTCAGTATGATTAATAATAGAATGTTAGCTTCTGCACATCTTGCTGAGCTGCCTCGCTTGCCTGTGCCTGTGCCTGGAATCGGGCCACAGCCTCCTCAGCAGCCGCCCGCGGTCTGCTGTTCATGGATCCCCCTCAAAATAGATTAGTTTTAGGCCTTCATGAAAATATGTAAGCAAAATCCAGGCATCCTGCACACCGTGGAGATGTGCTTCCTGAGGGAGTGGGTAGAGAGCATGAGGAGTAAAGTACCACCTGGTACTCATAAAATAAATCAAAAGAAAATATCAAGGAAGAAAAAACAGTAAGAAAATGGGCAAACCATAAAGACAGACAAACCATCCAATAAGGAAAGTGATCTAGAGATCAACAGTGAAGCTGTAATTGAACCAGGCACTGATACCCCTCAAAAAATGGGAGATGAGAATGTAGAGATAACTGAGGGGCTGTCATTGATGCCATAAAATGATGGCAAACTACAGAAAGCCATTGGCTTGTTCACGGATGCCATCAAGCTGAATCCTTGCTTAGCCATTCTGTATGCCAAGAAAGCTAGTGTCTTCATCAGATTGCAGAAGCCAAATGGTGTCATTCGAGATTGTGACAAAGCCTTTGAAATAAGTTCTGATTCAGTCCAACCATACAAAAAAAGTACACAGAGTTTTGCACCATTGGGAAGAAGCAACCCATGATACTGCCTTTGCTTTTATACTCAATTATGATCAGGATACAAATGCACTGCTGAAGGAAATTCATCCAGGGGCCCAGAAAATTGCTGAACATTGGAGAAAGTACGAGTGAAAACATGAAGAACGAGAGATCAAAGAGAAAAAGGGTTAAGGCTCAAGAAGTGCATGAAAAAGCCAAGAGGGAGGAATAAGGGAGACTATAATCAGGTGCTCAGTATGGCTCTCTTCCAGGTGGCTTTCCTGGGGAAATGCCAGGGACTTTCCCAGAAGAGATGCCTGGAAGGGAAACAGGCATGGCAGGAATACCCTGGCTCAGTAAGATTCTTAGTGATCCAGAAGTCCTTGCAACTATGCAGGATCCAGAAGTTAAATGGTCTTTGGGATGAGGCCCAGAGTCCTGCAAATATGTCAGTGTATCAAAATAATCAAAAGGTTATGAATCTCATCAATAAACTGTCAGTCAAATTTGTACATCAAGTATAATACTCATTGACAAAGCCTTTCATCAAAAGCAACCTATATCACCTAATACGTGTTGTAGCAATACAAAACAGGGTACATCTGACATCATCAGGAGAGCTGGGCTACTTTGAAAAGGTAATCCCTTCCCTCCTACCCCAAATGGAGCTAAAACATTTTATAAAATGTTTTCTTACTAGGAATTACAAATCTTGAAGAAGTTTTTTTTTTGTCGTTGTTTGGGTTGTTTTGGTGCCAGAAATCAAATTTGGGACCTCGCATTTGCCAGGCAGGCATTGTGCCACTGAGCTATATCCCCACCCCCTTCATCCCTGTGTTTCTCTTTGTTAAGCATTTTAGGTTTTTCCTTTGAATTAAGGGGCAAGAAGATACTTCAGTATGAAGATTTATGGCTTTAGTATGAGTGAAAGGTTTTTTGGGTAGGAAGCAAATTTCATTTAAGAAGATAAAAGTTTGAGTTGGATATATGGTGACTAAGACATTTTTGATTTGGCTTTTTAAAGGTTTTTTTTTTTTTCTTTTTTTAAGATTTATTTCAGTATAACTATTGAAATTACCAATATTTGAATATGATCTAGATAGGGACTGAATGTAGTGGTAGAGCAGCAGCAGTCTTACCCAATGTTTTTATAGAATAGATACCCTTGTACAGTTTGCATTTAAATCTTACACTGTGCTAAAGAGGTGATCTTTTTCCTAAGCCACTGTGGAGTTGGGTTACTTAGCTCTGTTCTTGTCCAAAGCATCAAATAAATGTTTCCTGTTATTTCCACCAGGGGAAAAAAGGATGGAATGTTACATACTCCATTGGAGTGTCATGGTTTAATATTTGTGTTTTAACTATTTATTTTCTTCTCTTTATAGCTTTACCTTTAGTACAAGTGGATGAGAAGGGAGAAAAAGTAAGGCCAAATCAAAATCGCTGTATAGTAATATTGCGTGAAATATCTGAGTCTACTCCTGTGGAAGTAAGTAACTTCTTTAACAGGTACTTCGACATTTTCTTAAGACTTTTTGTTGCTTTTGTTCTGTCCTTTATTTTATCATATTTTTATCTTTGGTACCAGAGATCAAACTCAGGACCTTGTATTTGCCCCACAGGCATTGTGCTGTTGAGCTCTCTCCCTGACCCTTGCTGAGTTTTTAAACATCTGTGGCTTTGAAGCATTTATTTTTTAAAATAAATACTTGTTTTCTCAGGATTTATACTCATTGGTAATGATAATGTGATTCCTTTGTAGGACAAAATGAGTCTCAACCTTTTTGGTTTTAAGACTGTGTTACCCTCATTTTATTTGTGTGACACTGGGAATTGAATCCAAAACCTTTGTACTAAAACATGTCACTGGCCCTGCCACCCCTCCTTTTTTGAGACAGGCTTTCACTAACTCATTAAGTGTCCCTTTTGGGCTTAAACTTGGCACTCTAGCCATAGTCTCCTGTAGTGCTGGGATTACAGTTCTATGCTACTATCCGCAGTCTCATTTACACACTTATATTAAATATTTAGAAACTAAAAATGAGAAAATTTTTAAATATTTATTCACTAAGAAATAATAGTAAATCTCAAATTTTTTAAAAAAGACCATATTTATGATAAATAACTTTTGAGAATAAGTATTTTTATGACAAGTTGGCCTGTTTGAAGATGTCCCAGAACACAATTATAATTGTTGCTGGATTCAAACCTACCACAGTCACTCCTGTATTTGCTGCCACCATTAGAGTAAATGTCTTTTAAGTGAAAGAATACACAGTCACCTTTTTCACGAGAATGGGGTCTTGGATCATCCTTAAAAAACCATTAAATTGGAGCAGTAATTTTAATACTTGATAATAATTAAAAATAGCCAGGTATGATGGTACATACCTATCATCCAAGCTACTTGCAAGGCAAGAGAAGTACAAGTTCAAGGACAGTCTGGACATCTTAGCAAGATCCTGCTTCAAAATTTTAGAAGGGTTAGGGATGTAGTTCA